ATGCTCAAGGTAGTCATCTAATTCTGGGGCTATTATTGGCAAGGACATCTGGGCCATTTGTTTACCATTACTGTCTAGCCTTTCAGCTCACTTTATCTTCTTTCTTTTTGTGGGAGAGGTACTGGTACAACTTCAAGATTTTCCTTATTTTCTTTCAAGCCCAGAAATGCTTTTCAAAAACTATGTTTGCTATAGTATATCCAGGAGCTGGTTGTATTGTGGTTAGAGGGCCAAAAACACTGGTAGAAATGGAAATTCCTTACATATGACATTTGCTAGTACTACCTTGAAAACAACCGGAAAAATAGTCATGATTAACAGATTTTTGTTAAAAGGCCAGACATGAAGATTTTATTGTTAATGTTTTAAATGCCTTAATGAAAGCTGTCACTTTAGGTAGGAGAGACAGATTTTAGAATAATATGCAATTTTTAGTACCTACAGCACAACTGAGCCTTGCTTACTATATTACCATAACTGTGTTCTGGGTCACAGACAAACTTGGTCTTTTGGGGAGGAGTTAACAACTATCGAAAACTGGAATACTGGAGGGTATACTTGAAAACAGTGAGGCGTAACAGCTATGAAACATGGTCAAACCTGTAGTCTATGGCTCAGCCTCACTACAGAATTGTAGCTGTAGCTGAAAAGTCCTTTGGTCCTTCTTCCCAAGAGTAAAAACCAAATCTTTGTTTATGCTCCTGTGGCTTGTTCTCATTCTAATAACCTGTCTGGAAGGTCCAGCTCACTGCATTCTACAGAGACATAAGAGATTTTTTGATAACCAGTGTTGGTTTATTCATGACTCTTCTTTCTTCCACTTATTCAGTAAGTAAATTTAAGAAGGTGACCATTTCTTGGTAAGCAAAGAATCAAATTTCAGCTTCCGGGAAACACTTTTCCCTCATAATCGTGACCCTTCTACTTTAAAATCTTGTTCCAAGGATAGCTCTGTACAAACTTAATTCTTCAGTAAGAATGATAATGATTGCTAATACTTATTATATGCCAGGCTCTGTTCTAAGCTTATATACATATATACTCCTCAAAACAATCCTGAGACATAGATATTTGGGCTGTCCTCAGTCTGCAGGCAAGGAAGCTGAGGCACAGTCATATAACCCAAAGTTTCCCAGCTAGAAAGTGCTGGAAGTGACAGTCAATCCTCGGCTGTCTGGTTCCAGAGTCTGTGCAATTATCCTTTAGTATAGACTGGCTATAGACCAAGACCAGATCCAGTATGTGTGATGATGTGAGTCTCTCTAACAAAATGAAATGTAGTATTTTAGTAGGGACTATAGGTTAAACCACAAATACATTTATTCCTCTAAGAACAGTATGCCATCTTTTAAATTCTGAAGTTGTTATAATCAATTGCCTCTGCAGTTTGCTTGCTCTTAGTAAGCTAAGAAAAAAATCCCAGAGCAGAGTGATTTACCAGCACCATCCTTAAGTTGCAAATCTACCCTTTATCACAGAGCAAAAATACACTTCAGATCAACTCAATAAAATAACTTTAAGGATTCACAGAAGGAATACTCACATCTACTTGTCATGCATTCCAATGCCGCAAGGCCCCCTTTTCAATTGTCTAACTCCTATCCTGATCTTTTTATAGCCTGAAAACAAGGAATCACCCAAGTGAGATACCCCTTCAGAACACTGTTGAAAATATATTAAACAGAGATATCCCAGATTCCTGTTCTAAATGTTAAAAATGTATTAGCATATAGAGAAAATATCTGTAGATGTATTCTATTAGGTTCTAATGAGTTTTTGCTTCCCCCTTTTTGATAATGTCTTCAATTTCTTCTGAGACCTTTCCTTTGTAGTCATTTGGTTCTATTGCATTTAACTTCTTTTGATAGTCCAGTGGCAAACCATTCTCTTTTGCACCCAGGCAAATCACCTAGAAATGGTTAAAATAAACAAAAAACCCTTTAGTTAGGAACATAATTTAATTTAGTATACCATAATTTAATTTAGTATATTTAGTAATTTAGTAGTATCAAAGTATGAAATATTAGCTTTCAGATAACTCTGGAATAAACAATTCTAGAACAAAATGGAGGGCTAGTCATTCCTCTCACAATGAGCATGAATGTGCAGGGAGTTTTCAAAGCCACAAGATCCACCCTTATGGAAGAGCAATTGTACTCAGTAATATGATTTAAAATATTTTTATATTAAGAGAAAAACTTATTGTACAGAATTTGCATGATTTTTTAAGAAACAAACACCATCCTCCAAAACAATTTCCAGTTTACAGGTAGCAGTTGTAGTTGAATCCTGGAGTCTACTCTACCTCTAAATTAGACGTGAGGGAATAAATAGCAAGTGTGTCCAGTGGTACTTCCCAGATCCATACCAGGCTTAATTCCTCTAGGTTCCTTTCTAGAAAATTCCAGATTAGGCCCAGGAACTGGGTCACCCTCTCCAGGTATCATGTCCTGATTGGGCCTGCCAACAGGTACCTAAGTTTGGGTTTCTGAAAAGGGATGTTGGACTCTCTATCCTGAATTCTTTTCTGGTGCTTGAGGGAGTGGTATCCCTGATTCTGAAAAGCAGTGTGACTTATTTTTCCCTCCGTCTGGAAATGGAAAACATTTCAGCGGTAGGAAATATATTTTTCACCTACAAAAATGAATCTTGGGGGCTTCCCTGGTGGCGCAGTGCTTGAGAGTCCGCCTGCCGATGCAGGAGACGCGGGTTCGTGCCCCGTTTCGGGAGGATCCCGCGTGCCGCGGAGCGGCTGGGCCCGTGAGCCATGGCCGCTGGGCCTGCGCGTCCGGAGCCTGTGCTCCGCAAATGGGAGAGGCCACAACAGTGAGAGGCCCGCATAACGCAAGAAAAAAAAAAAAAAAAAATGAATCTTGGTGTTCATGAAATACTGTTTTATGGAGGAAGAAAAAAATGATTATAAATGCATGGGTATAGAATAACTCTACAAAGAATACACTCATACATGCTATTTTCTACTTTAAAAAAGTAAAAAACATGTCTAGAATTATGACTCAAATACATTTCTACAAGCCTTTTTTTTAATAAATGAAGTTTTAGGGACATATTTATCATTATAAATAAATCTGAACATTTAGTTATTTGGTAAATATCATTTTTGTATTAAAAAACATTTTGATTAAAATGAATTGTACATGTAGAATTTAAAACACGCAAAGCCTTTTAAAAACAAGATATTCTTTAGTTTAGCTCAGTGAAAATTAACAAGGAATCACCAAGTCTTTGTAAGTAGTTAGTTAAAAGGATACCTTTTTATACTGGGGTGATGGGGGAACACGCTCATAATTTGTCATCTGATAACTTCGACAGGTTATTTCTTTTCCTTCTTGAGTAGAAACATTAACTTCTATTGGGACATACATTCCACTTTTAACCCCTTCTTGCCTGAAACCAGAACAGTGAAATTTTAACCCTACTTGACTTAGCCAAGTTAGTTTACCAGATTAAAATTTTTAACTACTCATGGATGTACTTGCTCCCTGTATATTTTGGGATAGAGCAGAAGTATCACCACATCAAAAGGAAGGTTAGCATTTCAATTAGAAAGCTGGAGACTATTACTGGGTATGCTTCTAATAGATCTCTATATTTAGCCTATCTAAAAACATGCTTCAGTGTAGTTATTTCAAGCTTTGTAACACTGAAACATTGCTCCCTAGGCTACAAAAACGACTATGTGTTCTGACAGCAAGAGAATATCCACCCAGAGCAAAGTAGAGAGGATGGCTCATTCCTGTTTGCAAGTGAAGCAAAGTATTAAGCATGTCAGATGCTTGTCTGCTCTTCTCAAATCCTCCTCTTTTCTGCCACTTTCTTTGCATTAAATGCTCTGCCACACAACTCTTGAGTTCTATTTATAAAGAGCATCAAAGCATTTCTAATATGTTTTGAAGTTTTTACAAATGATTATTACTGTTTTTACTGATTCAACTGCCACCTTAAAGAATTATTTTTAAAAAACTAATAAAAACTGAGCTGCTTTTGAAATCAATACAAGTATGTAACAATTACAAAAATCTTCATGCCTTCTCACAATATGAAACTACAAAGATATTTTTATTAAAAAATAGAATGAAAATAAGGACTTCCATCAATTATAGAAGAGATTACAAATGTCTCCCCAAATCTCAATCAGGGAGTGTGACCCTTCTAGGCTTTTCTTTTTAGGAATGAACATTATACCTTTTAGGTTAACCCTAAAGTATAAAGAATATGTCCATAGTATATGGTTTTGAAAAACCAACACATATATATTACATATCCTTGCATACGAACCACTTTCTAAATTAGTAATTATTTAACTTTTAATTAGAAGTCACCTACTTATCTAGGGAACTTAAATTGCTTTGGTTCATTTTCCATACTACTCCCCATACTTCATCGCCAGGACTTTCAAAAATGGTGGCTATACCTCCATGCCAAGTTTCACTAGTTTTGCCTTGGGGATTGCCAAAGTCAAGCTTAAAATCCTACAAAGGAAACCAAAGTGATATGATCAGTATCCATGTGAACCAAAATCTCCTTCTTCAAAATAAAAAAAGATTTACCTTGAACTCCATACAACTAAAACAAACTTCGAGTTCCTTCTGTTAAAAATACAAAGATAAACAACCAAGGACCCAGATCTCAAGGACTATAATTTTTCATATTTTTCTTTAAAAATGAACTGTATACTGAATATGTACATGTATCTTACCATAAACAAGAGGCTTAAAAGGGAAAATAAATCCCATAATCCTGAGGCCTTAACACAGCTATCTTTATTTTTGAAAACGACTTCCCAGCCCACTTACATACACATAGATTTTAACTTAGAGACAATCATAGTGTACATAATTGTTGAAGCTGGGTGATGGCTACATAAGGGTTATAACATCCTTCCCACTTTTATGTATGTAAGTGTATCCTATTAGCATTATTTTTTTTGTCCTAAGGGAGCTGGCATTTGAGGGTGATCTGTACACTTATAAATTTAATATTCCTGAATTGTATTAACATATCTATAATAATCATAAGAGCAGCTAACACTTACTGGAAAATTACTGGGTTCTATACACTGTGCTATGAGCTTTATATGGACTTTTTTTTCATCCTGTCAACAACTTTTTATACCCATTTAACAGAAAGAAAAACTGTGGCTTAAAAAGATTAAGCAACTTGCCTAAGGTCTCACAACTAATAAGTAATGGAGTCAAGGTTTCGAGTTTAGTTTCCTCCCTCACAGAGATGAGTAATCAAAGGACACAGCCAGGAAGATTAAAAATCCTTACTTGGCTGTTTGGTCTAAGATTTCTTTCCATCTTTCCAGAGCTTAGCTTCCTTAATGATAAAAAAAAAAGGTTAGACTAGATAATAAATCTAAGGTTTATATTTTATCTCTGTCACCTTTATTTTCTTAAAAACCTGTCAGAATTTCACAAAAAAGGTCGGTTTGAGTGACCAGTACCTTCAATTGGTATACTGGATGTTCTAGGACCAGGTATCCCTGACAGGACATCAGGGGATCTGATAAAAGTTACAACCACACTAGGAACTGGTTGTCTATTGTTAAATCCAATAGACAATTTTCATTCCTTGTCTTGCTCTACTTCTCAGCTGCTTCTGACATCATTAACCACCAGGTCTTGATCTGTCTCCTTTCTTTTAGGCTGTTCCTTGATCTCCTCAATCCCCTTTGCCCCTTCTCCACTACCTGGTTTTTAAATGTTGGAGTTTCTGAGGGCTCAGTTTAGGCCCATTTCTCTGTTCAGCAATTTGCTCAAGACAATCTCATCCCCTCCAATGGCTTCAAATATCATCCAATATTCCAACAGTCTTCTAATCCAGCTCAGATCTCTCCTCTGAGCTTCAAAAGTGCTTAGAATATAGTGAGTATTTAATGAATGTTCACTAATATTTTTCTGCTCACTTGGATATACAACAAGCATCTCAAACTCAGTACAGCTGACCCTTGAATAACACGGGTTTGAACTACACAGGTCCACGTATACGTGAATTTTTTTCAATAAATATAGCATCTATATTTTCCTTTTACATACCATCAAATTAACTAAGTATGGGGAAAAGTTCGAGTAGAGATTAAAATAGAGAATATGTGGCATCAAAAGAACTAGGGTCTGAGTCCTAATTCTATCCAAACCTTTTCAGCTTCCTGCCCTTGGGTGAGTCATGTATCAATTCCTTTGTTTTTGAGGTAGAGATGGCAGTTCTGATTTTCGGCTGGGTGGAGGGTCGGCACCACTAATCCTGGCATTGTTTAAGGGCCAAATACATGTCCAAACTGAGCTTGATTTTCCCTCCCAAACTAATTCTCCTCTTCTTTTCACAAACATCACCGTCATCTACTCTGTTGCGTCAAAAACCTTAGTCATCCCCACTATCTCCTCTTCCTTTCACAATCAATCACCAAGGCCTAACAGTACTCACTCCTAAATATCTCCCAAACCCAGCTACCCTCCACTGCTACCACTGCAGGGTACCATTATCTTTAGCATGGACTGTTGCAAAAGCTTCCTAACTGGGCTCCCTACATCCACTGCTTCCAATCCATTTTCCATAGCAACCAGAACCAGCTTTCAAAGATGTAAATCTGATGTTTCATTTGCTTACATTTGGCAGAGGTCTTCTCATTGGTCTCAAGGTAAAGACCCAAGCCTTCTCTGGCCTCTGTGGTCCTGTAAAATGTGGCCCTTCCCGACCTCTCTAGTTTTCATGCTGCACCCTCCTCACACACTAGATTCCAGCCACAATAGCTGGAACGTCCAGCTTTTTTCTTTCCTGAGGCCTTCTGTCCCTGCTGTTCATTCTATCTGTTTGTTTCCCCCCTCCCCAGTCATTCAGGTCCCAGTTTAAAAGTCACATTTTCAGGAATGGGTTTACTGAGCATCCCGGTTAGGTCAGGTCCCCAAGTCATACACTTCCATAGCACCTTGAATGTCTCCTTTAAAAAAAAAAATTTCACTTTTTTTTAGAGCAGTTTTAAGTTCAGAACAAAACAGAGAGTAAGGTATAATATATCTCCTTTTAAGACTGACCATACCTGTGACGGAATAATCATTTGCTTGATAGCTCTTTGCTGCATTCCAATTATAAACCATCTGAACTTCTTTCCCAAGTTTGGGGAATTCCCTGCCTTATGAGTTTGGGGGTAGACAGTGTTCAGAGCCTGACTCCCATTTTTGAAGTTTCAAATGCCAGAAGTTGGTTCTCCCAGCTTTTCTTGAAGTCAGGGCATGGGCACGTGGCCAAGACTTAGCCAATCAGGACACCCACCTAGGGCTTTGAATTAGAAACTAGTGACCCAGGGCAGCAAAAAGTCCACCTTGGTGGTGGCAACCATATTTGGGTTTTAGGAACTTGGAGATGTAGTGACAGTAGCAGGCAGGGTCCAGAGCAGGTGATGCACAATAAAACGTCCACGTTTACCAAGCTTAGCGGCGATGCAACAGTGGCCTCCTGGGCTGGTTCTGTTGGTGTGATACTGGCTGTTTTAGAGCTTCCCTTTTATGCCTGCTTGTTTTGTCAGCTTTGTGGTCCTACCTTCCTGGTCATTCTGTGAGCTCTTCAAACGGCCTTTCAACACATTCTTTTTCTGCTTTAATCAGCCACTTCTGTTGCTTGCAACTAAGAACCCTGACAACGATAGCAGAGACCATGTTTGTTTGGTTCAACAATGTCAAAAGGCTTTGTACATAACTTGTTTGAGTGTCTCTCCTATAGACTGGGAGGTCCTGAAAGCAGCCAGCTTTACTCAATCATCTTTGTACCTCCAGGTAAGTGCTGGAAGAATACGCACTAAATGAATAAATGGACTGTACTAAGAGCAATGATTCTTACCAAGGCAAGCGAAGGTTCATCCAGCCACTTGATTTAACTGAGCACAGCCCTTACTGTGAATAAGACACGGCTCCAGCTTTCAGGACCTCTCAGATCAGGAGCAAAAGGCAGGTAAATGGATTTTTACAAAACCAGGTGACAAGTCCTGGAGCAAAGTGGGGTACAGAACAGAAAGCAACTGATTCCCTGACTTGGGTCAGAGAAGGCTTCTCAGAGGGACCAACCGAATGGATTCTGTGATGATGCCCCTAGGTCAGTGGCCAAGGGAGAGGCGCTGGGATCAGGGCAGAACGCGCAGCTGGTGAGAACGTCAGGAGGGAGACCTCAGGGCAGCCTGGGAGGCACAGGTGCCAGAGTAGCACAGCTCAGCAAGGGTCAAGCACAGGGCTGAGGGCGAGAGCGACAAGCCCGGGGTCGTGCAAGGAACCCTGATGTACTTTGAGCAGAAAGAGCTGCATTCCCGGCCCAGTGCTGCCAACAAGCGGCGCAGAGAAAGCGAGTTCTCGAAATCCTGGCTCCCTCGTCTGCAGAGGGGAGCAGAGGCCATCGCAGAGCACTGACCTGCAGGCGGGCCACGCTGCAGAACACGGCCGAGGGGTTTCGGAGGTGGATCCGCTCCGTCAGCAGGTTGCTGCCATAGGCGAAGTAGAGAAAACTCTCCCCTTCCCGGCTCCGGAGGTCCTCGCCGCCCGAGTTCGCCATGTCCCACCGGACGCCTGCACGGACCTGGGATCTGTAGCAGGAGAGTGAGGTGAGGACTAGGAGCATAGCGCGGTGGCCGACGACCCCAGTCCAGGAAGCGCGGCGCCGCGCAGCCTTAGAGCTTAGAGGAAAGGCGGGAAGCTGGGGGCGGGCGAGTCATCAGCGATCACTCTTCTGACTGGCTGCCAGTACCCAACGCTGCGAGTTGCTCCCTCTGATTGGCCAGCCCACCGCCTCCTCTCCGCTCGCTGCTTGGACTTTGCAATACTCTGCCCTGAGGCGACCCGGGGCTGATTCCACATTGGACCCGCTCCTCTGTTGTCCCGCCCCCGTGTTCAAGGCTCCCTCTGATTGGCTCCCTCTACGCGGGGGCGGGTCAGGTCCCCCATTTGTGGGTCGTAGTTCGCCGGTTCCGGCCAGATTTTCTTACCTTTGGGTGGCTCCTGCGTGGTTTACTAGCTGTGTGTGCTCTTTAGGGTGTTTTTGGTCCATTTAAGATGAAACAGCAGCTCTGGCCATGCTCCCCACGGTCCATCACCCAGCAGGTCGTCCCTGTCCCGCTGCTTTTGGAGTCGGGACCTATATTCACCCCCACATGCTGGTACCCGCACCCCTAGCCCTGATCATCTCCCTGATACCTTTTCTAAGGATACTTGGCTTCCTGGAAAAGCTCCTCTGAGTGTCAGGGGCTCCCTTCCCTGGTGGAAGTAGCGTGCAGCGTTCAAATCACGACGCTTGCTGTTTACTTGGAAGCCTAACCTCCGGCACTTCTCGTCTCTGGTTCCTCCTTTTTTTTTTTTTCTTTTTCTTTTTAAACATCTTTATTGGAGTATAATTGCTTTACAACGTTGTGTTAGTTGCTGCTGTATAACAAAGTGAATCAGCTATACGTGTACATATATCCCCATATCTCCTCCCTCTTACATCTCCCTCCCTCCCACCCTCCCTATCCCACCCCTCTAAGTGGTCACAAAGCACCGAGCTGATCTCCCTGTGCCATATGGCTGCTTCCCACTAGCTATCTGTTTTACATTTAGTAGTGTATATATGTCCATGCCACTCCCTCACTTCATCCCAGCTTACCCTTCCCCCTCCCCGTGTCCTCAAGTCCATTCTCTACGTCTGTGTCTTTATTCCGGTCCTGCCCCTAGGTTCTTCAGACCATTTTTAGATTCCATATATATGTGTTAGCATACGGTATTTGTTTTTCTCTTTCTGACTTACTTCACTCTGTATAACAGTCTCTAGGTCTATCCACCTCACTACAAGTAACTCAATTTCGTTTCTTGTTATGTCTGAGTAATAGTCCATTGTATGTATGTGCCACATCTTCTTTATCCATTCATCTGTCGATGGACACTTAGGTTGCTTCCATGCCCTGTCTATTGTAAATGGAGCTGCAGTGATCTGGTTCCTCCTTTAAAATAGAGATTATAAGATGTTACGATCACAATTACATAAGTTATGATCACCTATCTCCTAGGGTTGGTGTAAGTATTAAAAGTAACTTTGTTAATGTTATTAGGTGCAAAAGCTCCAGTGTAAAGATATAGAAGTATTGTATAATAACAATGACATAAAAACTCTATATTGTTAACTTTGAAATGAAAATATTAATATGAACTCAGGGCTTAGAAGCAATGACTATCCTTGGCACCCAGATTTTGATCTCTAAATACCACTTTTCCACTAAAAGGTACCAGGGCTCCTTGGAGAAATGGCTGATGTCAGTCGGGTCAAGAGCTGAGAAATAATAGGAGCACTTAGAACATCATGTGACAGAAAGTCAGGAGGTATTAAAAAACGAGGTCCTTTGGAAAGAACACAGAAGCTAGCTCGAAGGAATGCCCACTGGCCAAAGTTAGAAAAATTTGAGCATCAAGATTAATAACCGCAATTTATTTAAAATGTCAAACATAAAATTCATTTCCACTGAAGTGTAAAGCAAATCTAAAAACACAACAGTTTTAAAAAACTTCCTTTGCCATACTACTGGCAGTGACTATTACACAAACTCTTTACTCTGAAAAGTGGTAATTTAAGAAAATTACCATTTATCCTGCTTTACTAGCTGCAGCTGTATTTCAGGGTAACCAAATGGCCCCAGTTGATGAGGAAACAGTTCTCTTTACAAAAACATGCCAGCTAAATATTGTAAAATGAAGGATAGAACTAGAAATTCACCATTTTGCAGTCCCTAGTGGAATAATTGATTCATGCCAGGATCATCAATGTCACCAATTGGTGAAAGTGAGATAGGGAACAGGATATTCACAGAGCCAGGGATTATGTGCCAGTCATCAGGGAAATCCATAATGACAATGGAGAAATCTGGCTGCTTCCCACCTTAACCTAGATCGATCTTATCATCAGTAAAATGGACCAACCTGACATTAAGTGTCTCCTGATGTGATACAGTATGAAGCACCAGCATCATTTGAGGAGTATTGTTTCCAAAAATCTTTAACCTCAGTATAATCAAGCAGGAACTACAAGGATAGAAGTAGACAATCAGAAAAATCCAGAACAAATGGTGAGACATCCTGCAGAACAAATGGCTCAATTTCTTAAATTAACTCAGTGCCATAAAAGAAAAAGAAAGAAAGAAGAGAAATAAAGCAGTACTGAGGGAGGGCTGTTTTAGATTAAAAGAAACCTAAGAAACGTCATAACCAAATACAATGGCTTGTCCTCGGTTCTGATTTAATAAATGAGATATAAAAGATATTTTGTGAGCAACTGGAGAATCTGAATACAGACTAAAACATTAGATGATATTAGACAGTTGTTTTTTTATTAGGTATGATAATGGCATTGTGCTTATGTAGAAAAATATCTTTTTAGATACACATATTGGTGTATTTAGGGGTAAAGTGTTTGCTATCTGTACTTTTAAATAATTCAGAAAAATTAAAATATGGAAAGTGTTAAATGTGAAACTGAGTGCATATATGGATGCTTGCTTTATTATTCTTTTCTATATATTTGAATATTTTCATGTTAAAAATTCAAAAAAGAAAAATGGTGATATAGGTAAAGCACTTGACATAGTAAGCATTCAATAATAAATTTGTTGTTATATATTCTGTAAATTGGAAGGTTCATACCTTCTCCTGCCCCCCAAATATTAAGGCAGAACTTGACATACATATTTGGTCGTTTCAGTAAGCAAGTTGCCTTCCTTGACAAGATAGCCCTCTATTGCACCATGAATTCCCAAGGTCTCTGCTTCGGAGCACTACCATTTAAAACATGCTTCTGTGTTTTAAACTACTTTCAACATTTAAAATGTATTTATTATTTAATTAATTATTTTTTAAGGTATTTTACTTTTCTCTTCCTACACTTCTCACTAATTTCTTAATTTTATGGTGACTGATTTTTCTCAACACTATTCTGTGACAATTTTCTGAAGTTAAACATTGATATTTCCTCAGACACGGAAAATCTTTTCTTACCCCAGTGAAGCATTTTATTTAGCTTCCCCATGTTGGTTGCCATGTACTGACCCCTGTTGGCCAACAAGAGTCAGTAGGTAACAAGGGGTTTTGTCTTTTCAAATTTAACCAAAATAGATAACCAACAAGGAGCCACTGTATAGCACAGAGAACTATACTCAATATTTTGTAATAAACTATAAGGGAAAAGAATCTGAAAAAGAATAGATATATATGTATGTATAACTGAATCACTTTGCTGAACACCTGAAACTAACACAACATTGTAAATCAACTATACTCCAATAAATATTTTTTTTAATTTTAAAATTAAGAAAAGTTTTTAAACTTTTTTAAGAAAGCAAAGCACACTTAGGAAAAAAAGAACAAATTTAACCAAAGCCTGGTTAATATTAGTTAACATTCATTGAGTGCTTATTAAGTGCCAGTCTAAACTCTTACATATATTAGTTCATTTAATCCTGAAAGTGGTCCTATGCAGAAATTACTAATATATCCTCATTTTACAGTTGAGGAAACATATGTGCAGTAGGTCAACTAACTTGCCCCAGGCTGTAGTTAGCGATGACTGAAGCAGAGATTAAGCAATCTGATTCTGAAGTCATCACTGGGTGTTGCTTCCCAAATTTCTCATATTGTAAAGCCCTCATGGTCTAGATATAACTGGTTATTAATAGCTCGCTTTCAAGTACAATCTCTATCATATCTATAAGGACACTATGAAATAATAGTACTAGCATTCAATTACTTGATAATAAAGGTAATGAGGTCAGATTTCTTCTAAATGCCATCTTTTAATCCAGTGGACTTAAAGTTTTTGGTTGTATCATTAAAATTTTTGAGCACATATTCTATATACATAATAATATATATAAAACTATATATATGATAGAATATCCACAAAATAGAAATTTAATCTGGACTCTGCTTTTCTGTGGAGATGGGTTAAGGGTGCGAATCACATGAAGACAGCACAGACATGGGTTTGGGGAGTGGTGAGTAGTTCAATTTCAATAGAGCAATGGATTTATATCAGGAAATGGGAGACAAGTCTGGAAGGAGATTAGCATAGTTGATGGGAGGACCTTGAATTTTCACTCAGAAGTTCATACTATTTGGTGGTCAAAGGGAAGACTTTTTTTACTTTTGAGCCCTCTCCTGCACCTTTGGAAACTCCTTCTTGTGGCTGTGTGTAGGACGGCCTGGGAGGGGGTAGGATGGGGAGATGGCTGAGTGCTGGATGTAAGTTCACTGCAGTAGACAAGGTCATGAAAGCCTGAACTGGGGCAGTAATTATGGAGGGGAAATGAAGGGATGCAAGGGGGTAAAGACATAGTCTTTTAATTTTTTTTTTTGGATTTTTTATTGTATCACTGCTTTGAGTAGAAACCTTCAGAGGCTGCCTGCTATTTATCATTTTATCAAGTTCAAGCCCTTGTGCAAGCCTTTATTATCTGATTCCATTCTGTCTGGCTGGTCTGATTTCTCAGGTGATAGTAAACCCACTGGAGGTGGGGACCACACTTTATATTTCTGTATACCTACAATGCTTACTACAGCAGAGATGAATAGTAAATACTTGCTGATTAATTGAACCAGAGTCAAAATCTCCCCTACCCTTTGCACAGGCTCCCAAATCCTTTTTTCTCTTTGATTTTTT